GAACTCGAATTTAGCCACGAATTTGGTACAAAGAGACGAAAAATGTAAAAAAATAGCGTATGAACAGAAGAGAGAGAAAAATTTATAACCTTATCGATCTTTGCAAGTAACTCGATCATCTTTGGTTCTTATTCCGATTTCCATCACGTAGCGTGGTTCTCCCGAAGGAAAATTCATTTTCTCTCTCTCTCTCTCTCTTTCTCTCTCTTCTATCTTCGCTTGCATTACGATGTGTTGTAGCGCATCTTCCTCCGATTTCTCATAATGCGGACGAGTATTGCACGCGTACCGAATCTACATGCAAATTTCAAATTTATATCATTCAAATGAAAATCTCGTGAGCGATTGAAGCACCGTTGGCATTTTTCTGACGAATAAAATAAAAATAATATAAAAAGTTATATTGAAATTATTCTTTATAATTGTAACAAGTGTAATAGATTAAAAATATTCGAGTTTAATTGTCATTGTAGAGTATTGTAATTGTTTGATATTTTTATTTTGATTGTAAAATTTTCGTGAAATTATACGTTGACCTCTCGAAAATATATATTTTTCTCTGGTTTCATCATACATTTTTCGTTTATGATTCGGAAAAGTTATTGAATTGGAAATTTGTGAGAAAAATGCTTTTATGATAATATCGTTTTCATGATTTCATGTATGATTCTATTTAACACGCAATTAACTAAAAATTCTCATTAATATGTGGAACATTGAAATATGCTACCATTAGGGTTGAGAACTAGATCTACTGTGTTTTCCAAGCAGTAGGTTTTGCTATGTTAAAAGAGTGAAGAATAGGTAACCTTTAAGTTACATAACGAGATTAATAGGACGATGAATCATTCATCGAATATTTATGATACATAAACAGTAATCTATAATATTAAAAGATGAACCATTCTATTTTTAAATTGATTCGATATTAGTGATTTATCAAGATTATATTAGCAAGAACAATATTGAGAAATGGAAAAGATCAAATCAATTGAAATAGATATAAAAGAAGCGATTATATATTCAAGTATCTAATATAGAACATATTTTATATTACATAAAGTAACATTTTGAAATAATGAATCAATCGTGCAATAGTAATTACAAGAGTCCTTTTTTTTTAAAAAGAGTTTATTGGTCGTAGGGGACATCGTCGAAATGTCGACGACATAGGATCGAGTTTTATCACGTACGATGAATTTCCCGTAGGAGTTGCCCTTATGTAAGGATCTACGATTCATTCTCTCTATCTTTCTCTAAGCGATAAACTGACATGCTTTCGTTGTATTCGCACATATAGCTATCGTACAAGAACAAATAGAAGGGTGAGTTTCGAGTTAGTCATTTCAGATTCAAGCCGATTGCTGCATGCGTTCGTACTTCGGCTTTGATGTTTCGAATTGCCATTCGAAATGCATGGATGAGTATCGTTCACGATATAACTGCGGTCTATGGCTCGATTTTCACTAACATTCATAAGCACGCGTATACGTGAATACATCTAGATCGTGAATTTACATGGTCAATGTAAATGTTCGAACAAAAGCGAGAAACGTTTCACCTATCTAGGCCAATCGGATTTTAGAGATTTTTCTTCTTCACTTGATTAACTTCTCCAATTACAAACCACTCTCTCCCTATTTACAATATATATCTTCCCATCTCCCTCTTTCGTGACTAGTATTAGCCTATATTTTGAGTGAGATGCTATTGGAATTATAAACTGATGTATTCCGAATGTTTAAATTATTAGAGTGAGTAATTAACGGTCTCTTTGGACCTAAAATCTGATTGATTTGCTGATCTTTTTTTATAGTTCAATAGATTTCAATTTTTAACAGAATTAAATGTAATTATTATCTTAACTTTTTTCAATAAGATTGTTAAATCATTTTCTCAAGAAAATTGTACACATCGAGAAAAGCTTTTGTTGACTTTACAATTCTTTGATTAACCACCAAAAGAAGGTTATCGATGGGAGACAAAAAGTACCGTGACGTTTGTGACATTTTTCTGCCTTCTTGTAGAACGATTTATAGTGTTAGAATTAACGTTATTTCTATCGATCTATTTTCTTCATTTCGTATAATTCTCTTTCCTCTTGTTTGCGCTTAGGAAATACATCGATACGATTGGCCACACTTTTCTCTCTCTCTTTCTCTTTCTCTTCCACTTTTTGCACGCTCCATTTATTACGCTTTACGACTGTATCTTCGATATCGTAGAGGAAGCGTTCGTAACGAGAGAAATAAAAATGAATGAATTATTGTTCACCAAAAACGTTTCGACAATTTGTAATAAAAAATTCAACTTGTCGTGTTATTCGATCCTTCTTAAAAAAAGCTTGAAGAAGACCGAAATTATAAGTAGGAAGAAAATTATCGATCGTTTTTCTTTTTATTCTGCAAAAGATCAAAAAATCCATAATTTTAATTTATAAACGTTAACACACGAACGATCGTAATATTGTCTCGTAACATATAAAACACATACATTAATGATAATGTTGTTTGCACGCGATATTTTATTGTTCACAATAATACCAATTTATGTTTACTCTATAGACACATAAAACCACAAATTTAACCAGTCGATAATTATTTTCGTGAATTATATACACGAATGAATTTGACGCTTCGTACTGAGTAAAATTTACGCGAGAAACAGATATATTTTTAACATGACACGGTGCAATTAATTCTTATTATGAAATTAATGTCGTTGTTATGAGAACACCGACGGTCGAAATTTTTTCTCCTCTAAACTTTTCTTTTCCAGCAATATCCCTAGCGCATAGCGATAATAGAATCTAATACGGTGTGTCCGCGAAAAAAAGTAATTCTCTATCTTCCTTCCTATATCAGCCATTAAAAAATATAGCATTACCTTTTGCTGGCAGGATAATCACACCGTCATGGACTATTTGTTTTTATTGGCAATTTCCCGTTGCAATTCAGGTACTGAGCGTATTGTTTATAAATCACAGTCATCGCATCTAGTTCTTGCTATTGTTGTTATTGTTATTATTATTATTCCTTATCGTAGAAGCATCCCAATGCGATCCTACAATATCGTTAATGGCCGCCACACTTGCTGATATTTCGATAACATGTATCACGAGCATACGTACGAATAGAATATTAAGGATTCCAAGCACCTTCTTTTGTATTTTTTTTCTATTTATCATACGATTTCTATGTTTAAAAATTCCATAAGTGTTTCCGTTGAACGATAGATCACACGAATTTTTAATACTACGTATTAAAAGAGGTTCAATTCATTTATTAAACATTTTGTGTGATTACATATTTACGAATACATGAATGTAAAAATAATCTCATAGAAATAAATAATCTTTTCATATATAGGTGGACCTTAATACGAGCTCGTTGAAAATTGTTCTTGATAATCGTACATTTCAGTCGTTGTCAATGTCCAATAATCATTATATGAATTAATTTCGATCAAAATGCAATCTAATCGAGGCATGTTTTCAACGCCTATCAATACTACGAATGTTTCTACGAACACCGATTGGAATATAACTCATTTAATAACAAACAATCGTTCAATTAATTTTATTAATTAATTCTATCATTAGACATTTATATTTTCTAGACGCTTATGCAACTAAAAAACATAATGTAATGTAATTTATGTTTGAGTAAAGTTTTTGAAGATGGAAATAAATACAAAGTTAGCAAGATAGGTAAGAATGACGATTATTGTTATTTATCATTCATAACTATTCTATAAAGGCATTGCACATACGAAACTTCATTATTATTGCATCGAGGGACCAGTGGAAAGCCCGTAGATCGTTGCTACTATTCAATCGAGTCTCATTATCGTTGATTTAATCCTCAGCTCCCACTCATTCTATTTCTCTCTCGGTACTTTCCTCGATTTATTCGGTACCTCTACTTTCCGCGGGCATACGTTTACCAAATTTCGTCCGGTCAGTAATTTAGCCTATAATAAATTATTGAACCGATTCCATTCGAAAGATAGGAATTAATGTTTCGTACCAGCTGGACAAATTTATTCACGACGATACAAGTTAATTCGGCGAATAAGCTCGTGGGATAAATTAATCAAACAATTGCAAAAATATTCTGATGAGTGTAGAAGAACATCTTCTCCAGATTAGCGAAGTGAATTTCCTATCTCATAGATGATTCTTCGATTCGACGACCTGTGTTCCTCAACCGAGTACCTTTGTCTAGTATGTATATTATACATGTATGAGTAAATGTATATACACATATAATATATATATACATACTGATATAGATGTACACAGGTCGTAGTACTAGACAAATGCATATACATATACATGTATTTTAGTATTATATACCGATCACGACATTATTCCTCGAGGATGGTCGTTGCCCGTGCCGCTTCATAAATTGCTCGATTTATCGTTGCTGACTCACCGCGATCCGTTCAAAGCGCGATTGCTGCCCGCGAGGCTGTAAGCGAACAGGTAAAGCCTCGACCACGAGAGAGTAGCTACGACTTGCTCTCATAGGAAGTCGAGAATAACCGACGAATTGACGTACGATATGGGAAATCAAATTTGATGAATTCCAATAGACCAACCAAGTGTATTTTCATTAAACTCTCGTTGATATGTTATTGTATCGCTTTATTTTTACTAGTTTCATTCATAAGTAAGCGCTTTTATAAGAATCAGAAATTATTTACAATATAATATATATTTGTTATGCAAAATGATGAAATTCCAAATTTGTATCCCAAAAAACTTGTTATTGTTATATATAAGTAATTATTTATTATTACATATGATAACAAGGACATATATTAAAAATATGTTATTTTATTTATTATTATAACGGCGTTTATATATTTATGAGTCAACCGAATATTTATTACGATTATACCTTTACTAAATAGCTTATTACCTTATTGGGAGAGAAGAAATTTTTTCCTTAAGGCACATTTCTCGAATATATATTTAAAATTATAAGTGTACTTACGTTAAATTCAGCTGTGCACTTCACCAGATCCGGTGGATGTCCAGAATAGAGTTTTAGAGATTGTAGTAGACCCTTTAAATAGATGATTAGAAAATAATAAAAAATAACTCGTAAAATCGGATTCGTCATTTTAACTGTCTTTCTTTTATGTTTGTTCACGAGTCTCGTTATTTCCTTTTCTTTTAGAAATTGTTCGAAGTTATATAAACGAATGCCGGTAGCTGTATATTCGGTTCTCACGAGTCATCAATTTTCAAGCTGTAAAAGTTAAAGGTTCCAATGAATGAAAACGAACGAACGAACGAACGAACGAAAGAAAAAATAAAAACCTTCGTGCGTTGATTTTGCGCTCGAGCGGTGCTCGATTGTCGCTTAATTGTTTTCCTTTAACCAAGTCGATCAATCATGCACTATCATTCAATTTTCCGTTTCGCTATCGAACTCCTTTTAACGAGAGAAACGAAAAGAGAAAAGTTCACGTGTGCTGGTAGTCGTGTCTTTCGATGCTAGCTTACAATGGAGAGGATCGATTCCATCGTAACGTATCGTAAGTGATATACATAAATCTAATTTTTATTTAATTACCGTAATTAAACGAAACGTTAGTTGAAACTTCAAGCTCGTTAAATACGTATATAATTTAATTTTCAGATCACAAAAGAGATAAATAAAATAATAGTCCTGATCAATTTAGCGAATATCTTTTAAATATTTTCTTTTCTGCAAATTAAGAGAACAAAAAAAGAAAATAAATTTTTTTCTTCGTTCTTGTAAATGAATATTCATTATATTATAATATTAGTGAGAAAAAAGTTGATTTATCTTTAATGCCAGTCAACATTTTTGTCCCTTTATTTTTCGAAAAAAGAAAAACGAAAATAGTAAAAAAATATAACGAAAAAGGGGATATAAAAAAGGAAGGAATAAGAGAAGAAGAAGAAGAAACGGGCATGTGCCAGAACGGGGCATCGATCATTCTGAAAGTGTTCGTGGGATCGATCGATCTTCCCAAATGGCCCGCAGAAACGTGCTTTACGGTGCATTTTACAGTTTTCTCTTGATGCAAGCGTTTCCGTCGGTCGTCCGTTTCCATGTCGGGGGCTGGTAGTACCATTGCGCGCGCACACGAATCTTTTACTCTGTTGTTGTTGTGTTGTTGTGTTATTGTTATTGTTGTTGTTGTTGTTGTTGTTGTTGTCGTGTGGTAGTAACAAAGTATAGCCGTGATTTTTTTCACCCGGAAAACTCGCTTGCTACGGATTTGTACAACTGAAAAGTTGTTCTCATTCGTCCCGGGTAAATCTGTTTCCCGTTGCAGTCGTTATTTTACAAGCAAAGTACACATTCACAGAAAGAGTATGAAAGAAAGTGAGATAGATAGATAGATAGATAGAAAGAGAGGGAGAGGGAGAGAGAGGGAGAGAGAAAGAGAGAATGAAAGATGAAAGAATGAGAGTATAATTACTACTTGTATTCAGATTAATTATAGTATCGCATAGTACCGTGCGAATTCTTTATGACATCGACTAGCTCGATATATATATTTTATATGTTTTATTTTTTATTTCTAATTCTCCTTTTGCCTATATATGGTCCTTTTTTTTATTTTTTCTTAATTAGATGTATCTTTAATATCTTAATATCCTAAATAAAGAGTATCTATTTGTTTAAATATTTTATTAATCTTCACTTTAAATGAACGACCCAACCACGCTGAATTAACTAATTCTATATCACTAAAGTCAAGCAACGTGAGCAGAATAGATGGGTGATCCGTGCAGAAAAAAAATAGAAACCGTGTGTTGTTTTCACTTCAGAGAGGCGAGAAAAAACGCAACATCTTTATTAGTATTGGAGAGATGTAAAAAGGATTCGTAGAGAAGTGACTGGAATCCTTAAAAAAAATAATGAAAAGACACAATTAATTGTATGGGGTTTTTAGTTTTGTTTTATGAAAAAAATACTGAACATCTTTATCATTTTCGTAACGTATTACCCATAATAAAGAATAACATTCATTCAATATCGTGGACAATGGTGATCGGATGTTTGTAATTCTAGCCACAGATTATGTAAGCTCCATGATCGATCGACGTATTCTCATCATTTATAAGCAATGCCAAATTGAAACGAATGAATAATTTTTTGATATCGCTTGTCCGTTATATATTCCTCCATATACCGATTTTCAAAAAGTTTTTGAAAAGATCGTATAACTTTTAAGGGAAAAAATTTAAGACGTGAATATTTATGGCTTCGTATATATATTAATACTTCGCATTAATGTATAATAGAATTATGGTATATCTCATTTAAAAGATATAAAGAAACTTTAGAATGTTTTAACATTTTACGAGACGTAATTATTCGATGAAGATTTCATATTAATTAGCACTTTCATTTTGACATTCTAATTAAAGTTATTGTACAAAATATTACGAATTAATTAAAATAAAGTTAAATTAAATCGTTGTAGAAAAAAATGCTCACTGAATTATGAAACGAGAGTTAAGTTACAGGATCAATTACAATCGAGTTGAAAATACACGACGAATAGATTTAAATTCAGTCATCTTTAAAACGATCGTTCGGTTAGAGATGACTGCGGATGACTGTCTTATAATACGTTAGCCGGATTGGAAGTCAAGGGCTATAAAATATAGATGCGTGAGAAGAGAGGGGAGTATTCGCCTTGTGGGTCCTATTCCTGCTCGCTCAGGTCAATCTTAAACGTGTTTCGTATAAGTATACTTGTGTGCGTGCTGCAAGGCCTTATTCACAAACGAAAATCATCCGTCATATTTTTTTTTATCGCAATGCACGCTCCATCAAGTCAGACATATGTCATCTTCGGATACTTTAGAATTCTTTCCTTTTTTTCTCTCTTTCTTTTACTTTTTTAATTATTTTTTATGCTCGAGAAGAAAGGATTATAATTTATGAAAAATGTCGTAGTGATAAGCGATAAGCCGCATTTGTTTGAAAGTTTAATCCAACTTTCTATGTTCCTATTCTTCCTTTCCCTTTTTTGCCCCTTTTAGCAGTAGAGCTTTCTTTCACTTCGTTATAAGACGACCTCGCCATTGTTTCGTTCGTGCAAAAACAGAGGGTAGGAAAGAAGATTCTAGCAAAGCTAGACAAATTTATTCTTTCGCGTAGATAAAACGAACGAATTCGAGAAAGCCATGAAAATAAGGGAGCCAGTTTAATTTTCGTAGCGTTATTAGAGCACGAGAAATAGTCGGAGTGGTTCGTTCGAAAGTATGTGAGCGAGTTCGTGCGTACTATGAGTTTTCCCTCGACATAGAGTCTTTGAATCTGGAACGAACGGTTTGATCAAATATTTACAAGTATTTTCGCCGCATATAAACTTCCTATCCTGATCGAGTTTTATATATAGATCTTCTTTTTCGTACAGCTGGCCACTTCAAAGAACTACTACTAGTAGACAAGCAGGCATGCAGGCAGTCAGTCGGTTGGCGGGGAACCTTGAAAATTTTCATTGTAAGACAGATCTACTAGCTTTTCCTTCGAAAGTACTTTGTATAAAACCGTATATAAATCATGTCTCTTGAATTTGAAAACAAAGTAACCGTAAAAAGACTCTCAAGATTTTGTGTACGAGATTTTGATGTGGACATACATGGTGACTCAAATGAAATGTTACAAATTGTTTTCTACGAAATTAATGAAGTTTAATGAGAGTGCTATTTATATAAAAAAAAATTAATACCATTTTTCATTTATTACAAAACTAAGAGGCTTTGCTTTTTTCTCGAAAAAATATCTAGTTCGTTAAAAGATTAGCTTACCCCTCTTGTACTGTTCAATTACTGCGAACATAAAGTGGTTATTTTCATGAGTTTCTAAGAAAATAGCTTATAACAGTTATTTGAACAACCGTGTATACATATCTGTGCATATAAATATTTCGGCTTTCTAAATAATTATCTTCATAATTCAATGAAATAGTCTGACGTTACTCACGAGTACTACGTGGTTTAACACGTGCCATCCAGGCAGTTACGACATCACGACCTCTTTTATGTGCCATTCCGTCGGACTAATTATATCATACATTTTCCTACTGTCCCGGTACTTAAAAGTCGCCCAATGATTACGAGATATATTCTCAAGGGAACGTTACCCTTTACGACCCTTTGCTACTGCGATAAATATCCTAATTTATCTGAAATCTTATCTTACTTTTCTCTCAATAATTTTTTTCTTATTAGCTATGATAAGAATAATGCATAATTGAGATTTAGTTCAATATTTTCGTATTTAGTAGAAATAATGAATTAATGAGAAGAATCCTTTACAAATGTTATTTAATGAATGAGAAAAGGGAAGAAAAGAGAAAAGAAATTAGATTACAGAAAGCAAAGTATTAATGCTTCTTCCGTTAACCTGTGCAATTGCTACGTGTAATTCTTGGCTGCATCCCGGAGATATAGCATCGTGTGCTCGACCCCGTAAACGCATAATTTTACAGCAAACGAATGGCGGCTCTTAATGGATTTGCATTGTTCTGACAGCATCGCAACGCAAACAAAAGCTCTTCCTCTCACTCTCTCTCTCTACATTTCTTTTTTTTCTCTCTCTTTTCTCTTTCTTTCGTTCTCTATACTAGGTGCTGTTTTTCTTGTTTTTCTTCTCAACCTCATTCAGCATCTCTTTACATTTTGGAAATACAACCAAACGGGTGACATCAACGTGAAATTAGTTTTCTCGGTGATTATCAGAAACACCTTTAGAAGTAGTAATGCTTTTTCTGATCTTGATGGATCATTTCTTTTCTTTTCTTTCTTACACAAAATAAAAATAAAAATTATAGAAAAAAATTTTAACGTTTATAAGTTTATAATATTTATATTTATATATATGAATTCATTGTGTTATACTTGGAATAAAATATCGAAAAATAATTACGGAAACCACAGGTGATCGATTTAATTGAATCTTTATTCCGTTTAATCGAGTGTTCGATCTTTTTATCGTTTGTTGAGATCACGACATTCATAGAATGTCGAAGAATAAGTCCAAAAGAAAATTAACGAGCGAGAAAACTT